CCAGCAGATCACTTGCTTTTGGTCGTCGTCGAGGCGAGCATCTACCCAGAAGTTCTACTAGGTACGAGCAACAAGTCGCTCGTTATTGTGAGCAAGGACGGCGGTGCACAGGACATGAAGCTGCAGGAATCCATCGCTGCACCCATTTCCGCTGTAGCCATTGCCCCCAACGGTCTGTTCATGGCTTTATTCACACAAGACGGCATCTTGACAGTGCTTAACACTATGATGGACAAGAAGATCTTGTCTTTCGACACGCAGAGCAAGGCCAGTCCCTTGAGTATGTGTTGGTGTGGAGAAGACTCGGTGCTCATGTACTGGCCCAGTGCTGGACTGGTCATGGTCGGACCGTACGGCTCGTGGCTACGCTTCCCTTATTCAGAGAGTATCATCCTGGCACAGGAAGTGGACTGCTGTAGAGTGTACAGTGCTTCGTCACACGATATCGTGCTCAGAGTCCCGACTTGTGTGGAGAACATCAAAGGCGTGGGCTCTACAGCCCCCGCTGCGATGCTGTACCAAGCTCTGGATGCCTTTGATTCAGGAGACGCCAAGGCAGACGAACACATTCGCTTTATCCTGAGCCAGAACGCCCTAGAGGACGCTATCAAGGACTGCGTGGACGCTGCTGGTAGTGAGTTCGACTACGCTTCCCAGACGACGTTGATGCGTGCTGCGTCATACGGCAAATGCTTCGTGGACTCGGCTATGGACGCGTCTTCGGCTCTTCCAGGCGGTGCTGGCAGTGGAGGCAACGCTATGATGGACGCCGAGCTGTTCGTGGACATGTGTCGCAAGATCCGCGTGCTGAACGCTCTGCGTCAACAGGAGATCGGCTTCCCCTTGACCGTCACGCAGTTTGATCGCCTGACAGCTGAAGTGGTCGTGAGTCGCTTGGTGGCGATGCGTCACCACTTTCTGGCGCTCAAGATCTGCGAATATCTCAAGATCCCGACGGATCGCGTGCTGGTGCATTGGGCTTGCGAGAAGGTCAAGGCCGCGACGTCGTCCAATGTGTCGGACGAAGAGCTGGTGGCGCTTGTACGCAAGAAACTCAAGAACGCGACGTTGGTCTCGTACGCGGACATTGCCAACTGCGCTGAACGCGTGAACAGACGACGCCTGGCCACGATGTTCTTGGACTTGGAGGAGAACGCGTCGGATCAAGTGCCGTTGTTGCTGTCGATGGGCGAGTT